TTTCTCATTCTGTTGCACCATTTGATCTTGTTCACTCCGATGTGTGGGGACCTGCTCCAGTTACTATAAAAGGAGGTTCTCGATATTATGTGTCATTTATTGATGATTATAGTCGTTATTGTTGGGTTTATCTTATGAAGCGACGATCTGACTTTCTTTCTATTTATCGATCATTTAGAGCACTTATTAAAACTCAACATTCAACTGTAATTAAATGCTTTAGATCTGACTTGGGTAGAGAGTATACTTCATCCGAATTCTCTAAATTGTTTGCTCTTGATGGCACTATTCATCAAACCTCTTGTACTAATGCCCCACAACAAAATGGTATTACTGAACGAAAGCATAGGCACATTGTGGAAACTGCTCGTTCACTTCTTTTATCTGCAAAAGTTCCCAGTGAGTTTTGGAGAGAAGCAGCTCTTACTGCCGTTTCTTTAATTAATAAGATTTCATCTTCCCACAATTCAGGTTTATCACCCTTTGAAACATTGTATGGGCATCCTCCGGATTACTCCTCATTGAGAGTCTTTGGTTGTACTTGCTTTGTTCTTCGTCCTGAAGTTGAACGTAATAAGTTGACATCTCGCTCTGCTATTTGTGTTTTTTTGAGTTATGGGCAAGGGCAAAAGGGTTATCGTTGTTTCGATCCCATTAATAATAAATTATATGTCTCTCGTCATGTCGTGTTTCTTGAGCACATTCCATTCTTCTCCATTTCTGATAATACTCATGACGTGACCAAAACTGACCTCATTTATATTGATCCATTCTCTGATGAGATAAACAATTCACCTTCCCATATCCCATGTACTATTGATTCTTCATGTCCTACAGGTATGCATGCTTTCAGAGTCTTTTGTTTCCATCAACCTCATCATTAGTGCTCCGTGCCTACTCTGATGCTGATTGGGCCAGCGACCCCATTGATCGCAAGTCCACTACGGGTTTTTGTGTATTTTTGGGTGATTCACTTATCTCTTGGAAAAGTAAGAAGCAGACTGTTGTTTTTCGCTCCTCTACAGAAGCAGAGTATCGAGCTATGGCATCTACCACCACCACTAAGATTGTGTGGTTGCGATGGTTACTTGCAGACATGGGTGTTTCTTATTCCTCCCCAACTCCCATGTATTGTGATAATACTAATGCCATTTAGATCTCTCACAACTCTGTGTTCCATGAACGCACAAAGCATATTGAGATTGATTATCATCTGGTTCGTCATCATCTGCAGACTGGCACCATTTCCTACCTTTTGTTTCTTCATCGTTGCAGCTTGCTGACTTCTTCACTAAGTCTCATCCAGTTCATCGTTTTCGCTTTTTGCGTGACAAACTTTCGCTGCTTCTTACTTTAGCATCTTGAGTTTGAGGGGGGATGAAAACATGTGTTAGTTATTTAGTTATTTATTTTAGCATAATATGTAATTTCCTATTATTGTAAGTTTCCTATTATTTTTAGGTTTCCTTGTAGTAGTATAAAAACTGTTTTTTACTTTCTTTGAAAACCTAATTTTGATGGCTCAATAGATTTTGGTTCTCTCTTTATTCTTCTTCTTCTCCTCAATTTTTTCTTTTTGAATTGATTCAACATATTGGTTTAAGATTCATTATATTGTTATCAATGAGAATGCAGGGGGGAAAAATAAAAAAAAAAAAAAAATGGTGGCTCACATACACATTGAAAGAAGGCAATTTGAGATCAATTAACAAGTGTTGTTATATAATTCTTGTCTCGAATTCTTTTTGGGAAAATTGCTGTCGAGGTCATCGGGTTCGTTTACAGTCCGTAAGAACTTCAAATTTTCTTGAAAATTTATTTTTCTTGTATGAATGATGATATTTGAAATTGAATTTAACAACTTCAAGTTTTACATGTTTCGTCATGCCTTCAAGGTGTTCGACTAAATGTTTCGTCCCCCCCACATTTGAGCAATTCTTGGAAACCAAATTGCACAACGCAGGCCACTTCTGATCCATGTTAGGTACGCATGAATATATTTTCATTTATGTCGATTTTGCATCACATTTCGGACACACAGCACAACACACTGCATTATTGGTAGCAAGAACGAATTCAATGCTAAAGATAAATTTCCTAACAATAAAGCATTAAATACTGAATAAATTTCCATAACGACACAAGTACAATTTCAGAAGTCCCTACTTTTGGATCAGGAAGAACCTAAGAATTGATTTTACATGTCCAATTCTCCAATATAGAAGCAATAATCTTTGACATGATTTTGAGTCCAAGAATGTAGGGAAATCTCCATTCAGTATCAATGAAAACAAAGGAGCATCCACACAGAGCGTAACACTCACTTGGGGTTGTCTGTTTGAGGTAAGAGGATTGACATTTATATTCGAGATGAACGATAGGTCAAAAAAGCAGCAAATGAATGACATTACGAATGCGAATTTTTAGTCGGACCAAAACCTTTGAATTGATTCTAAGGCCGGAAGATTTTCATGTTTCAGGGGTTGTTTTGTACATAAAACTTCCTAGGGATGTACTAGATAAGGATAAATCTTTTGGTATATATTTTGGGTCCATTAGGGTGTTCATATACTCACATGGGGTGGGAGCCACTGTCATTCTCATGTTTCAGGGGCTGTTTTGTACATAAAACTTCCTAGGGATGTACTAGATAAGGATAAATCTTTTGGTATATAATTTTGGGTCCATTAGGGTTTTCATATACACACATGGGGTGGGAGCCACTGAGGACAATGGCCCCCACCCATGTGAGTGTATGGATACCATTATGGACCCAAAATTATGTACTCTAAACACAACACACTAGATAATGTATTTTTTTAAGAGTGCACTACAGAGATTTTTTTCGGCGAGGAATGACTACGTCTTTTACGATATAAGAAACTACATTAGCAAAAACAAAAGTGGGGAGCAAAGATAAAACCTAAGACTCACCACAAGATGCTTGATGGACCATAAATTACCTCTCCAATCTCGACTCGTTCTTTCTTGACAGAAAATGTTGTCAAGTATGTATAATGGCTTGGCAAAATTTACCCTACCACAATTGGTCATGTGCAGGACATGTGATATTTTTCAAAATTATTTCGTTTTCCATTCCATTAGAATTCTTGCAACAAGATTGAATGTCTGGGGACACCTAAATGCCAAGAAACTTTGATTGAGAACCTTGTGTACAAATTTCCCAAAAAATTGGTGTTACTTGTTCTGGGCTGAGCCAAACGTTCTCTAAAGAAGAAGAAGAAGGTACTTTGAAAAAAATAATAAAATAAAATAAAATAAAATAAAATAAAATAAATTACTTTTTAAAGGCCAATTTAATAATATTCTCAAAGAAAAACCAATAATTTATTTCTAAGACAATTTTTCCCGTACCTGGAAGATCAATTTTAATTGAGCATGATTGTTACCAACATTAACAGTGATGGATCCACAAATGTTATCTACCGAAAATATGACATAACTAAGAATAAATTGAATGCAGTAGGTAACAATAACTTGGTCATTTTGATGTTTATTGAGAATAATATTGTTATTAAATATCAAACAAATTGAGACATTGAAATTTATCGCTTACATCACAAAGATTTCATCAATGTCGCGGATATCATATCATCAAATTCGTTGGAGTCTCCTCTACATGGTCGAGGCAAGTGTACATCAGGAGGAACTCCCTTTGGGAAAGATTATTTCTCCCAACATTAACAAAATCTTGACTGAAACCCCTCTTTGTATTTCATGACTCTTTCATAGGTTATTCAGCTACAGTGATCTCCAACAGTTACTTGAATGTGTTAGTTTATTATGTCGGACATCAATTTTTTCCACAATAATAAGCTTCTTAATCGAGTTCAGAAGGAACTATAAAACTTGTAGTGCATGTTTGGTACATAGTATTAGACTTTGTTACGCAGAAACTTCAATTAGACAACGTGTCCAATACATGTTGAATAACATTTTTCTTTTTAATAGAGATATTATATATTTTTAACTTAGAGGTATCAGTAAATAACAATAATATAAGATTTCAACAAGAAAAATTAAAAACAAATATAAAATTAAATTTATACTATATAAATGAATTTTTTTAAAGAATATAATCAACATGTCGTGTACGTACATTTTTAAGAAATTACGTATCGACGTATCCGACAAATATCTTATTGGCCGCATATATCCACGTTGTGCAGCATAGGTATTAGAAAATATATTGATAATCAAATATACTATTGCAATCTTGACTGATCGAAGCTTAGTGCACATTTCAAAAATTGGTTGCTAAGCCAAACAAAACATAATCCGCAAGACATGGACGGACCCACATGGGGTCATGTGGGGTCAAATGACTGCACAAATTTTTGGATTTTTTTTTTTTTTTTTTTTTAACCTAACAACTACCCCCTCCAATTGCCAAACCCAATTTTCCAATAGTAACCCATACTTGTGAAAAGCGTGAATCCAATCACTATATCCATATTCATAATCTCATTCCCATAATTCATTTACTCATTTATCCAAATCCAATCCAACTTATGTAATAAGTTTCAATATTACCAAATCAAACCCCATTTTTCCCAAATTACCAATTGCCGAATGTGAGTTGTAATTCGTCTTTCTTTTTTCACTCGTATTTTCCACTTTTAAGTATTCTCTTTGCCATCGGCTCTCCATCGGGCCGTCCCTAAACTGCTTAGCCCCTACTATATAGGTCAGCCCCTGCTGCTACTTGATTACGGACTACGGTGAAAATTTTCATTTTTGACCCCACAGTTCAAAATGTCTAGGTTCGTCCTTGCCGCAAGATAATATGAAGTGGACCATTTAGAGCAGAAGGGCATCACCAGAATTAAACCATGTTTTGCTGTGCTTAAAAGCCGAAATGAAGTCTCTTTCCATTTTTCTTTGTTCCAAATTATGACCAAGTGTGAGAAATACATAAAAGCTTCTTGTTTTTACTATTAAGCGAAGCCAAACACGCCATTGACCATTTAAAGAAGTCCTTGAAGCAAAGTAGAGAAGGTCCATTATTATTGATTCAGTATAATTGTACTGAACTTCGAGAATCTAGTACGGGAAGGGCAGAAAACCGACTAGTGAGTTCATCTCTAGCTCTAACAAGGGTAATTATGGGATCCTAACTAATTTATGAAAAAGGTACTGGGAATTCCTCTATTATACTATACATCAGGAAACTTCCTAGAATAGATGGTTGTTAACTTCAGTCGAGATACAGTCCTGCTTCAAAGTTCTACAAAAAATAGAAGTTCAACGAAAAATAGAGTAATTCTTTTTTGACAGGGACACAGACAAGATGCCAATAGAGGGCTCCACATCGTCCCCTGTTTGGACAAGTCCCTGTCCAAGTAGCAGGGCCTGAAAAACAAGCCAAACGCTACCATCTTCACAAAACAGATTCCATCTGTTACTATTCATCAGTACGGAAGAGTATCTGCTGATGTCGTACGCTCAAGAACTCTTCCTTCATCAGTTGTGTACTTTAGAGAGTATTCACTCCAGAATCACCTACAACATATAGTCACTATTAGGGAAACCGGGTCTTTTTTTTTTTTACAACAGGAAAAAATAAAATAAAATAAAAACTTTAGCATGTAAATATTTGCTTAGAATCTAACTCATAGGAGAATCAATTGACAAACGATCAGGTGATGAGCCCCATTTCTTGTCTGCATTGGCAAAAGATTGGCAATTTTTTTTGTCAGATTACTCATTTAATTGGATTGCTCAAGAGTCACATAGAGTAACATGAGACGAAAATATAAAAATTGAATAAATTAAAGCATCTATCTACTTTTTGGATTATCTAGAGGGCATATTTTAGATGGAATAGTCGGAAAATTCCTATATATCTTAGCTTTGTTTTATGCAATTTACATAGTCCTGTGCTGGAGACAAAATGGCTCATCTAAGATTTGTAAGATAACGGTGTGAATTACTCATGAAAATCCATATAGAATATTATATATTATTTATCATGTTTAGATTCTCATTTTGGAAAAAGTTATTACGGTTTGTTTCCTAAACCTATTTGAGAGAGATTTTGAGAATTGATTTTTTGTTCGTTAGGAGAAAAGTGGGGTCCACCTGTGAGAAACGAAGTCAAATATGACGACTGGAATAGTGAAATAATGATCAAAAAAATCAATTTTTTGGGCCAAAAAATCACTCCCAAATCAATTTCTAGGATTTTTTTATGTTTATTTACTAGATTCTACATTTGAATAAATATTCCTTTTTAGAATAGATGATAGATCCAACTTTGATAATGAAATAAATAAATAGTTTCTCTCCCAATTTCTCTTCCATCTGCCTAATTCTTCTTCCCTTTCTATCTCCCTCTATTTATCTCACCCTCTTCTTCTTTTTTCCTCATTCATTCTTTTCACCTCTCCTCTTTTCCCTTCACCTATAATTCTACTTCTTGGTTTTATTTGATCCTATGTCAATTTGGTAACAGGGTAAGTCATTTTTTCTTTGACCAAATAAATTTCAAGTTCAAATTCAAAATTTATATAATCAAATTCTTGGCCACCTTCAACCACTCAAAAATTCCCCCAACCACTACAAATGAAAATAAAAAAAATCAACTCACAAAAGAACGATTTGACATCATATGGTCAATTTCATTATATGGTCAAAATAGTCGGAGTCGAGTTCTCTCAGTTAGAGTGAAATGATGAATCCTATTAGATAATTATATGATTATTTTTCATGTTTAGATTCTCATTTTGGGAAAGTTGTTAGGATTTATTTACTTAGATTTCCTAGAATTTTTTTATGTTTATTTACTAGATTATCTAAGATATTAAATGTTTCCTTTTAAAATAAATTTTTTGAAACCCCATATAAAGGGGGACTTATACATTATAATAGACGCAACTTTGATAATGAAATAAATTGGTATTTTCTTCCCCAATTTCTCTTCTGTCTGTCTGATTTTTTTTCCCTTTCTATCTCCCCCTCTTCTTCTCTTTTCCTCACATTTCTCTTCTTATCTTCCCTTTCCCCTTCTCCTATAATTCTACTATTTGATTTTATTGCATCCAATGCCACTTCTCGTTTAATGACATATTTGTTTTTCTGTATTATTTTTCATTATGGATGGTGAAGCACAATTTTCAAGTAACAGGATCTAGTTCCAATAATCTTCTGTCACAGTTGAAATTCAAAAACTGAGTTGAATATTCAATGAAATGTCCAAGCATGCTGAGAATACGCTTAAATCTCCATAGCAGAAGAAATATCGAGGCAAATTACGATCTACAGTTTCTCTAGATAGTTATAAACAATCTTACATGTAAAGACACTCAGGAGAAATATTAATACTGTAGATGTTAATGCATTTAGCTGTAATAGTCCATAAAAATATCATAGCTAAGCTTCAATCCAAAAGAAAAAGAATAAACAAGATCTTGGAAATTGGAAGACAGGCCAAAGAAACTTAAATAAACTGCCAATATCGCATTTCCAGGCACGAGCACCAACAGGAATTGCTCCAAGTTTTAGTAGTAATTTACAATTGGTCCTTAAAGAGAGGGTGATCTAGGTTCAAATAAAGTCATATGATACTATGTAATGGAGAGAGAGTTTTATCTCTAGGGAATCTTACTACGTCCAAAAATATTGTTCCATGGAGAAAGTTCTCCAACTATAAAACTGATGTTCAGTGTTTGACACTCACGCAGGTTGATTCTCTGGCACAATGCATAGATCAGACAGCAAATGCTTCTTTTATGAGTGTCTAAAAATTGATTGCAACCTTGTTAATAACTTAGGTAAGTTCGGATCGTAAGTTAACAAGGCTCCTTTAATAGTCTCGAGAGCCAAATCCTGTTGCACTCGAGGTAAGCATGTTCCTTTTGAAGTTTTGGCATGATAAGAAGAAACTAGTCAAAGGAAGAAAAGAGAGGAGCCTCTAGGTTTCCAAGTTTAAAGAAACCGTACAGTCTCATAACAAATTAAGGGAGGAGAAAATAAACCTTTTTGTAAAGTGTAACTAATTATTTCCTCTGTTTGAAACATTAATTTTGTTTTTATCTTTTGGGATGCAAACTGGGAAGATTCTGGAAATGATAATTTTGACTAACCAACTTAATTTCCTCCAAAATGTCAACCATATGACCAGCTCAAAAGTCAAAATAGAGGTATTTATTTATAGCTTTAGAATGAGACACTGGTGATGAATGGTAAAAGAGAGAAGAACACATAGAGCACATAGTTTGAAATATATTAATAAACAAATGTATATAGATGCAATCAGAGAGAGGGATAGAGTAGGGAAATAATAATGCATTCAATCACACAATCAACACTGATTGATAAGTAAAAAACACTGTAAAATTATTCTCAAGCAATACTCTATGACATTGTGTATAGCATCCAATTAATCCATGTCAAGACCTCAAGAAAGTTACGAATATAATAGCAGACACCACGTCGATAATTGAGATAAAAGTAAACTGTAGTAATTGGACATAAATTGAAGCAACTTACCAAAAGACTTGTTTGATCCTTTTACGGCTTCGAAGTTTTTGTATGTATAACCAACAAAACTCAAATCGTTAGGATTACGCAGCTGCAAGAAAAATGTAACATGCGGCAGCTGTTAAGTACAGTAGAAAGAATAATGTGGCACAAAGAGAGTAAATGCCATGATGAGGGGAAATGCCCATTATAAAAATGAACGGGACCTGTAAGGTGACAGTTCCGTAGACAAGACACTAGTTGTCCAATGCCACGGTCAGAAAGGAATTTATCCATGACTAATTTCCTTAGGCTTTCTATTTATAAACTGGTCTTTCATCAGCTCTCTACTCAATGTGGGACTTTATGGATGCCATGTTTAATCGTCGGAAGAAGGTTTCACGAAACGCTTTGGCACTCTATTAAGGTTTGATTCTCCCTATAGAAAAGACAAGATATAAATCAAAGGGTTTACCCTTACGTTTTAAGTTCTTTTGGTTTGATACAACACAAGTTGCATTTTGTTTCAAAGTGATTTTTTATGGCCTTCAAGTCTCCACAATATTATCAGCAAATCAAAGCATCCCTAGCTAGTAAGACTGCCCTCTTATTTGCTTTTGGTAGAACGACATCACCATAAGATGAAAACACATACCATGACATTATCGTCTATGAATTACCTATATCCGTTCATATAATCATATCGGTCAATATATATATAGTTATGAAATATTGTTTCATATCCATTGTTTCCTTTAGAAGCCTCATAATAGCAAAGTAGATGGTCATTCTCAACAAATCGGGGTTTTATTATGATAAGCTTCTTCATCTTTCTTGTGTACGACACAGCTGTGTATCCAAAATGTCACGCCAAGTAGTCTTATACGTATATTCATTGCCAGCTGCAAGGTACTTCTTGTGCATATGTTCATTTTCTAACTCGTACAAGTAAGGCTACGAATAAGCAGATATGAGAATATGCAGTTGCAGTCACAATAATCTCCTTTTACTAATAAATTATATCTCTAAAAGGATTCATGAAATTTTACATTTTTATTTGAAATTAGAAAGAAAAAGTCTCTCTCAACTTCATGAGTAAGATCTAGAGAAAATAAATTCATTGAAAGAAAAATATAATAAATCAAATCAGTGAATAACTGAAGATTATAGAAAGGACAAAAGTAGCCTTCTACATCAAAATATTACAGATGCTGAAAATAAGGACTCTAATTTGGAAACTAACGAGAACTTTTATGAAACTAATAGACAAGTTAATCTGATCAACAAAAGAGAGAAGGGGAAAAATTTTACTGCTCCTTGTGTAGCAACTCAGATTGATGACGTAAATCTTCCAAGGAATTGGATCCTTACTGTTCTAATCCGTGCTATATTCTTAACAATGGACTTTAGTTTTATACCACAGAAATTAACTATTTCATCCCTCTACACAATGTATAGTAATTTAAACATTGAAAATAGTATTTGTAGACAAATAAAATATTTATAATGAAGAGAAAAATATGAGAGGAAATTCTATTTCTTTTTTTTCTTATGGAATAGGCATAGATTACAGTAATAAATAGGAGAGGAAACCATCAATTAGGTTCACCAAACTCCTTAAATCAAGGAAGACTAAATATAGAAAACTAACCAATAAGGAAAAAAGAAAATCTTGGAGATTGAGATGGTAATTATCCTAATTTCATTATCTGGAAACTAACTAATCATAGTTACACCAAAATATTCCACATAAAATCATAAAAAGAAATATTTAATATGAGATCAAGCAAAACAATAATTTTCTTTTTCCAATTTATCAAAATGAAGCAACAAACCTTCCTCCAGGCTCCGTAACTACATTTTGCGGGTGGGGGATCCACCTATCATATAATTACAAAAAATATCAGTCCGGGGGACAAAATTAAGGCTGAAGGTACAATACTAAAGCATCAAGAAGGAAACAAAACAAAGCATCCAGAGATCAGCAATATGGTTGACAGAAGGCAAGTATATTCTCATTCTCAAAAATGATATGAAAGAAGAGAAGAGTCATATAATATATGGTCATTCCTATATAGAGGTGCGATAACAAGATGGGACACGATACACTTTTCAGAACTCTCATTCTCTATGCAAACGGAAGAAAAAATTTACTATTATCATCGAGACAAACCCCTAAAGATTCTACATATGGTAACAACTATGGTTTGATCATGTCAACACATCTTTTCCAAAAAGTATTTCCACCGCATTCATTACAACAGAAAAAGCCTCCTTATTTTCTTTTTTAGACCCTTTTTTCAACTAACCAAAAAGAGGAAAGAACTTTGCCCTTAACTTCTGCCAAGACTAATTCTTCTTCTGTTGTGTGTTGTTCGAAGGTTATTGTGTATGAAAGGTGGTTATATGGCCTTGGATGGATGGTAAAAGGTTGCGGTGTATGTATGGATTGGATGGAAATGGTTGATTAGGATGCTTATTTTTTGGATTTGATAATGAAATTTGTTTGGTTTAAAGAAAAGAACATCCTCTAATACCAAATTGGTGCAAGAGCGTATTAATTTGACAATGAACAATAGAAGAACAAGAGGAGAAAGGGGGTCGAAGAAGAGAACTAATAGCAAAAGAGAAAATCTGTCTTATCATATATTTAATAGTGTTCATTACATTGAATAACCCTCTTTATGTAGAGCAAAGAATCTAAGAATTTAAAATCAAATGTACTTCTAATAAACTATAAATTTAATTGCAATATTAATGGCTTGTTTGAGCCACATTATTTTCAAAAAAATACATTCTTCAATGGTGATTTGACATCATTTGAACCACACATTCTTTATTAAAATAATATTACACGCAAATCTAAAGAAATTTCTTATTTTTTAACAACACATTTTTCATTGATTTGACATGAATAATGCATTTTTTTTCAAGAATGTGGCTCAAACATGGGCTAAATATAGTCTAATCTAATCAAAATATACTTAATTTGAATTAAACTCTATATTAAAATCTATCTAACTTCTTTTTCTATCTATATATTTTTTTCTAACTCCATCAATTACATTGTGAAAGATAAGTTTGTCTAATGTTAGCTCTAGACTTTGATCGGGGACGTCCAAGTTGTAGATGCCGCATAGAGGAAGAAGAACTACCTTTCCTTAATAGTACTCAAAGATTCATGGAAACACAATCTAATACATATAGATGACCTCTCTAATGCTCCCTTGTGATTATACTCTTGTTTCCGTCCTCAATAATGTAGCTAGAACATTAGTACTTAAAAAGACAAGAATTACCATATGTGAATTTTTCAATGAAGAACAAATTCTTTCTAAAATCAAGAATCACACGCATTTAATTCAATTAGTTTTTCCCTTTATCAATAGATACACATGCATCACCAATATGGATAGTGGGCAATCTATCACATAAATCACATCATTCATTCCATGGAAGTTGATTTACCTACATCATCAGTCATATGTGAGGCAGATGAGTACACAAAAAGGATCATTGGCATCATTCATAGTGTAATTAGAGCTCAATAGAAATTTTCTGACTGATAAAAGTAGTTTACCCAATATCAACAATCAAAAGATTGATTCTATAAATTTGAAAAGCAACAACCACTTTTTTATGAATTGTTGGATCACAGTGTTTGCCTTTAGGTTATTGTTGGGGTGACCTAAGGTGGTATTCTCATGGCCAAAGTTTCAACAGCCATTTTGATTATTGTAGTGTCCAACTCCTGAATCATTTTCCATAGGATTAAACTAGATTATATCACCTCCATCACATCTTCCTCTTTCACAACCTCATTAGGAGAAATATTCATGTGCATGCTCAAGATATGCCCTATGGCCCCTATCCTTGTCTTAGAAGCAAAAATTCGGTCTAGGCCTTGAACAGCCAAGACAAACTAACTGAATGAAAAGTACTGTGATTCCAAAAGCATAGTAATTCAAAAATCTACATATTGGTTTCTAACACAAGAAAACTAGAAAACGTTTTCCGGTTCTAAGACAACTTTTATATTTTATCTAAGTTATCATATATTATTTTGAACTCTTTCAAATATCATTAAAAGAGCAAGAGGTTTCTAATTTCCCTGGGCAAATTCTTCAAATTCTCTCTATTTCAATGGTATGAGAAAGAAGCTACTGTCGTGATTTCTAGACCTCTTAGGTTGTCTTTTCAATGAAAATCATGATATGGACATCTTTCTTTGTAGTTCCAAGAAGCCACGAGGTCAACAAAACCATCTAAACAAAACGAGAACAAAAAGTTTTTATATTTCTTGATAATTAAACCTCACAATGTACATCTATTTATAATACAATAATGGAGCCAAAAAAGGAAAAAACTCTCTCCTAATATTAGAGAATATATTTACAGCCCTAAATTTATCAATCAACATTATCAAATGAAAGATTTTGATATCTTTCCTTTGTACACGATTTCCGACACTTCCCCTCAAGTTGGATCATAGATACTGATCATATCCAACTTGCTGATAAAATCATTAAAGTCTCGTTGAGACAACCCTTTGGTGAGAATATCCGCCATTTGTTCCCTTGTAGGATATACACCATACAAATGACTCCTTCAACCATTTCTTTGATAAAGTGTCTATCAATTTCCACGTGCTTCGTTCTATCATACTGAACTGGGTTGAGTGAAATGCTGATGACTGTTTTATTATCACAATAGAATTTTATTGGTAATTTTATTCCAACTTCCAATTCCTCCAAGAGTTTTTTTAACCATAGTCCTTCACATATCCCTTATGCAGCTGCTCTGAATTCGGCTTCGACACTGCTTGTTGCCACTACATTCTATTTTTTACTTCTCCAAGTTACTAAATTTCCCCATACATAGGCATAACAACCTGATGTTGATCTCCCGTCTTCCGGTCCAATCAGCATCTGTAAATAATTCTACTTCTCTTTTTTCACACTTCTTGAAGAATAGTCCCTTTCCATCGGAGCCCTTTAGATACCTGAAAATTTTGTAAACTGCTTCTAGGTCAGCTTCCCTTGGCGAGTGCATGTGTTGACTCATGACGCTAACTGAAAAAGTAATGTCCAGCCTGGTGTGTGGTAGGTAAATTAACTTACCAACCAGTCGTTGGTATCTATCTTTTTCAACTGGTCCTCCTGTCTCATATGTCCTTTTTCTACAGTCTATAAGTGTGTTGCTTGGTTTGCAACCAAGCATGCAAGCTTCAATCAGCAAGTCAAGGATGTATTTTCGTTGTGATATGCTGATACCCCCTTTTGATCTTGCCACCTCCATACCCAAGAAGTACCACATCTGTTCAAAGTCTTTTACTTCAAATTCAAAGGCTCGGCTTTCCTTTAGTTTGTATATCTCGGTTATATTATCTCCAGTAAGGATTATATCGTCTACATACACAATTAGGATTGTTATTTTTCCTTCTTCAAACTGTTGGAAAAACATGGTATGATCTGATTGTCATTGCTGATATCCTTGATTCCTCAGTAGGACTCAACACTTTTGCAAACGTATCAAACCAAGCTCCTGGTGATTGCTTAAGACCATATAATGATTTCTTGAGTTTGCATACGTAGTCTCTTTCATCCCCATTACTGAAACCTGGTGGTATTGTCATGAATACTTCTTCTTCCAATTTTTCATTCAAAAAAGAGTTCTTAATATCCAATTGCGAGAAGGCCAATCCAAGTTGGTTGCTAGAGATAAGAGAACTCGAACGGTATTTAGTTTTGCCATGCAAATGTCTCCAAGTAGTCAATACCACATGTCTGTGTGTATCCTTTAGCTACCAACTGAGATTTATAACGTTTTATCGACCCATCAGCTTTATACTTCATATTAAAGACCCATTTACAACCAACAGGTTTCTTGTCCTTTGGTAACTTCACCATATTCCAAGTTTCATTTTTTTCTAAAGCCCACATTTCCTCCATTATTGTCAAGGTTAGCAATAAAGGTACAAAATTTTGTAGATAGAGTTTGATAAGACAAATTTAGAGATAGGGTGGAGAGTACATGATCGATTTTTTTTTCTCAGAGCAATAGTTAAATCATCACTTGGAGATCCAGACTTATCGAATAGGATTTCATTATGTCCTATCACAGGCTCCAACTCTTTTGGAGCCTCAGGTGCGAGGTTTCCCTTATACTTTAAGTTCGGCCTCCTTGAGTAAACGAATATTTCCTTGTTCTTTTTGTTTTCCTGCATCTCCACCTGCATTCATGTTTCCTTCCATAGATGACATATTAGACGTAACATGTCTAGAATAGGTTGGTTAGGGAGGAAAGATGTCAAAGTTGAAAAATTCTTCAAAGGACTTCTCTTCACTTAGATTCTCTCCCTGAAGAAAATGTTTTTTGAAGTAGGGTGTGTTTTCAAAGAAGGTGACATCGTGGCTAAAAAAGACCCTTTTTGTTGATGGATCATAGCATTTATATCCCTTCTGAGTAGGTGCGTATCCAATGAACACACATTTAAGTGTACGAGGTTCTAGTTTGTTTCGATAAGAGTGAATATAGGTAAAGGCCATACATCCAAACACTGTCAGAGGTAGGTTAAAGTTAAGACAAGATGTAGGGAAGTGTGTTTGGAATTTCTGAAGGGGTGAGTCAAAGGATAGGGTACGACTAGGCATTCTATTGATTAGATATGTGGCTGTTAAAATGGCATTGCCCCATAATAGTTTTGGCATGTTTGTGGTGAACATTAATGCACGTGCAACTTCAAGAAGGTATCTATTTTTCCGCTCAGCGACCCCATTTTGTTGAGGAGTATTGACACAAGAAGTTTGGTGGACTATCCCATGGTTTTGTAGATAGTCTCGTAATGTAGTATTGATGTATTCTGTGCCGTTATCGGTGCGGAGTATTTGGATCTGTGTCTGAAATTGTGTATGAATCATTGAGTGAAAGTTGATAAATACATAGCGAACTTCAGATTTTTCTTTTAGTAGATAGACTGAACAGACTCTGGTATGGTCATCTATGAACGTGATAAACCATCTAGTGTTTGTTCGATTCGGGGTTCGAGAAGGTCCCCATAAGTCACTGTGGATCATA